CTTTCAATTTGGAGTAAAAAATTTTTTTCTCACTTTAAGATTAATTATATTAATTTAGAAGAGTACACATTATACGTAGCACAATAATTAAATTGGATATTAATATTGTAATACAGTATTACATGATTATAACACTGTACAAATATTAATTTTATCCAATACTTTTTGTACACACAGTACACGCGTAAATTTGCAATAACGAGACGTATTTTGAAATTACCATAAAATATATCGATCTAATGTATTATAACGATGTGAAAGTATTCATGTTATGAGATAGATACTGATGAAGATATCGTACCTTACATTTATGGTGATATTATACGGTAAATTACACGGTAACCCCGGGTAAAACCCGGGGACTACGCCGGAAATTTGTGGAAGGTAAACCATATGTCAGGCGCATTCCGTGCTGGATTAATTATTAAAGGCTTTTTGTTGGCGCGTAATAATTCGGTTTACATTACCGTCACGTTACTTGATCAATTACAATTGTTTGTTTCCCGCTGACCGCGCGAGATATGTTACATCGTTATAAATGCATTTGATCGGCATAATTTTCGTAGTCGCTGCATGTTTCATATAATTATTTATAATCTAATAATTCACGAGAAAAATTGAAAGATTTTTTTCCCCGAAAACATATTTCACGTTTCAATCGCTTCAATCGAGCTTATTCCGATTTTCTCTTCATCGAAAGAAACAAAAATGATATGCTTTACATTATCAGATACTAAAATATATTTCTCTCTCTGTATTTGTATTTTTTTTTTTTTTTAATTTTCTTCTCGTTTATTCAGGAGATGAGAAAATGTAATGCTTATCTACGATTGGGGAGGAAGTGAATAAATGAAATACGTATCAGATATCTGCAGAATCATCACTTAGCCGTAAGATCTGGCGCGAGAAAGATCGCTCTGACATTAATACATCCCGTGTAAAATGGAAATCCGCGCTTTCTACTTCTTTCAACAATGGCGAATGTGACATTAATAGAGCGGCGAGGATTTAGAGAGAATCCTTTTCTCCAAATCCCGGATGGCTAATGGCTCCCTTTCCCCCTCGTTCTTCCTTCCTTTACGGGATTTCGATTTCTGATCGGATTCCGAAATGTTTCTCCTCGCATGACGGTGGGCGCGCGTGCGATGCTCCTCGATAGAAATGTCCTCGCGCAAGATTTATATTCTATGCGCGGGATATGCGTTATCCTCCCCGTTGCAAACCGTAAACACGAATTGCGGGGGATATTTTACATTTCCCATCGTGTGCGCGCCATCTCGTACCTTCGCGACATGTTTGACAATCTCGATGGGAATATCTCTCGGAGAAAGGTTGGATTGGTTTCGCTATTTTTCACAGAGTTTATTTAACCTTTGAGCACTATACGGTAGTGGCGAAATGCATTTATATACCGAGAACTCCCGTATCATAACAGAAAACTTTTAGTGTCTGAGTAATAACTAAAAGAAATTTGTTTCACGAACAATATTGGTTTACGCAAAGCGCACGTATTTTTAATTATGTAATTGTATCGAATATTATTCTATTTAAAAATCATGTCTTGGTATCGGTTTGAATTTTTTTCAAAATTCACGAAACCTGGGTATTTTATATCCGACAAATTTTTTCCGACTGAAATTGTATCGAAATACATACACAATTTTGAAAGGAAGATATTCTACAAATCTTCAAGCAAGTGCTCGTTCACCTGTAGTCATCTCGGAAAGTTTATTAAGATTGAGGAGCTTAAATAATACATTTGAACGCGTTTTTATCGAGCGCGCTTTTTTATTTCGTGTATTAAAGCATTCTTATCCTCGTACATCTAAAATGCGAGCGACCACCCACCATCTATCCGGGAAGATTACTCGGACTTAGGTAGCTCAATGAAACCGCGCGAGGAGTTGTAAAAAAGTTTATTCCGGATAGACACTACCGGACGTAAGTAATTGGTCGGCGGGCCTGCCAAACCGGATTTATCGGTCGCTCGACAGGACTTGTTCGCCGGTCGAGCGTCGTTTTTCCTCGCGTGCCATTCAGATCCGGCTGCTTCCTTATCCCGTCGTCGCAGTCTCAACACACACACACACACACGCACGCACGCACACATTCACGTCCGCCCGGAATTTCACCCTCGGGATATTTTTCTCCCTAGTCACGTCCAGCGAGCTGCGCATCGCAGCGTCGCGTCTTTGTGCATTTTCCCTTCCTCCTTCGCTGCGATCTTTTGCCATTCTCTTCTCCACTTCTCTCTTCCCTTTGTTACCTTCTGCTTCTTCGGGTTTGCCAGCGACGGAGCTTTTTGCTCGTGCTTTTCTCTCACGTTTCTTCCCGTCTCGCAACGTCGCGAACCGGATCCAACGGGGGTCTCAAAGGTCTCGCCGACGTTCTCGAAATATGTTAACTTCTCCCATTTTGCTGGCTCCACATCTCTCAAGAGCGGATTTATATATAAGCATGTGTAACGTTAACCGAGAATCTTAAAAAATCATGGAAATGAGGAAAAAGTATCAATATTTTTATCATTGAAAATTCATGATATCTTATGCTCTTCAACACAAATCTATTTTTTTGTTTTTAAGGATGTTTCGTACCTATCTCTTCAAAATATTGAGAATTTAATGACAATTGTACAGAATGTCCTTACACATGTTTAGAATCTTCAGCACAATTTTTAAATCGATTCACTAAAGCGTTCACAAGTTATAAGCATTTTAATTTGCACCGAATTAAATGTGTTCTTATGGGAAACATAATCACGTCGATTCAAATGACAAAAACACATGGAAATAATATTCAGAATTTGTTTAAAATTTGCAAAAGTTTAGATACAGAGGAAATATTTGGTCAAATAATTTTATAGTATTAATAAGTATTAACTGATTAAAAAGATATTAAATATAATTCAATGAAGTTGGCCATATCTGTCGCAAGGCGAAATTCTCTGCCAAAAGTTAATCATTTCGATTAGCAAAATTCGGAATATTTCAATAAAAACGCAATAAATATTAAAAAATACATCTCTGTATTGTAGCTAAGATCAAATTATAATATTCCACACAATTTTTCATACTCAAAATATACCAAAAGCGGATATATTCAACATTGATTTTTAGCAACTTTTTGCTGAGATTGTGCATACAAAACATCCTTAATATCTGGTAGAATTTGAAGATATAGAAGCTTTCACAATCTCTTTTAATTTTAAATTGTGTGTACATGTGTGTGTATATGTGTGTGTACGCCTAAGGATCTTTCATATTCGGTAACAGACTACCTTTTTTTCTTGACGCGCGATACTCTGCGTATTTTTTTATCAAATCTCATCTCCTTCCACGCAATTTTCACAGACCTGTTTGAATTATCTTTTTACAGTATATCTAAATTAAATATCCCGCAATAATTTTCCTCGCTCCTTTTTTTCTTTTATAAAGCTTCATTTCAGAGAACATGTATCATAGGGTTAATCTGCCAGTGTGTCCTTCCCTTTCTCTCTCCCTTCTTTCCTTGCCTATTCGTTCGTCTCTTCTCTCTTTTTCTTTCCTACGATGCTCCTCGCGGCTTGAAAACTGGATATTTACGTCCTAGTGCGCTCGCAAGCCGTAGTTTCCCCTCTTTTGAGAGGAAACGAAATAAAGAGTTTCCGCTCGGTTCCCCCGTAACTCGTTCGGCTCCTTTCCGATGTTCCTGCACGCTCTATGAACCCGGGCGCTTATTACATCAGCGATTTTTCTACGAACCGACAAAGAGGAAGGGAGAGTGCGGTCTCTCCCTTTGTCGCAGGCTCCTTATTTGCAACGTGTGGGAAAAAAGTGGTATTAACGCTGATTAAAGAACTTTTCTAAGCGTTTACGCTTTGTTTATCGAGACGCGAATTGAATGGCGAAAGGAAATTCGCAGCAAATTTGCTTTTTGCTGAATCAAAAGCAATATTAATCATCCTACTTTCTCTTATAGCTAGGAATTACAAAATAGCGAAATACTATAGAATAATACATATAGAATAATACATAGCGAGGAGTATTATAAAATAATGAGGTATAGTGAAGTATTACGGACTAGCAAAATACTGCAGAATAGCGAAATATTACAGAATAGCGAGGTACTGCAGAATAACGAGATACTACTGCAAACTAGCAAAGTACTGGGGAATAGTATCGCTTCAATTTTAAAGTCAATATATACGCGAGGTCTTTGATGAGATTGGTTATGCGAAACTGCAGGAACAGAGTAAAGCAAGAGAGTACCAATATCAAACAGGAGTTTCTTCCTTTCCTCGTTCACGCTTTATTTATCAAAATAAAAAGGGAAAAGGGACGAGATCCTCCCTTCGTAGATATCCTATGCTCTCGTCGATACGCTCTATAATTATACACCGAGTGGAATGCCCCGTGATGAACTTTGCTCGTGAACTTCGCGTTACTGAAGAACGAAACGATCCTCGTAATTTCTCGCTTCGTACAACGTTACAGGATCCAACGATACCTTGCGAAAAAAAAGATTATAGCGCTACGGAGTAAAACCGATAGAAGATGCGTGCAATATATTCATAATAATTTCACCCATCGTCAGTTTTTGCCGATTTTTCGATTAAAACGATAGACGGAAAAAATGAAAAAGAAAAAAAAACAAGAGGGTTGCTGCGAGCCTTTTCGTGCGCTTCATTTATTTTGTTTATTTATTACACGCTAATGTGTATCGAAGCTGCGCTTTGACCCAGGGGAGAACGATGCTTTGTGATTAAATGAAAAATATTTTCCTCTCGTGAAAAATCGCGTCGAATCTTTATGTAATAATAATTATACAAGGTTTTTTATTAGATATGTACGTGTACATTTGCAACAGGGAAATATTATCGTTGTAACAATTTCAATATTTACAAGAAAAATACAGAATTATGTATGCATTTTAATCTCTTGCTTCTATAAAATGCTATGTTTAAAGCCAAATGAATTCAATAATAATTTGTTATTTAATTTCCTCTTTATTTATTGTTACAGAGGAAGTATTCAGCTCGAATAAAGCGCTTTGGTTTTCTCCGAACGGCAACAAATTAGCCTTTGGCTATTTCGATGACTCGAATACTCCTATTATGACCATACCGTTTTACGGATATCCCGGAAGCTTAACTTTCCAATACACCTCGTCGATACCAATCCACTATCCTAAAGTAAGTATTAAAGTAAATATTAATCTTATATATCACTGCTCCTCATTGTTTTCATTATATATGATAGAAAAATATTTTTCCGATATAGTTGATTTTATTTTGTAGATTTCGAATTCACGTCGAATGTCATTATCATTTTTATGGTTTTATCGGAAAATTATTCGTCGTATTTAAAATAATGCAATAGCTCCGTGAGTTAATTTAAATTACAAGCACACGCGAAAGTTTAATTTATTTTGCTGCAAACAGGTTATTTTATGTATCTTTTCTGCGATATTTTTTCATGTGTAATATATTCGCGAATTACATGTTCGTTAAACATTTTGCATCTTTAATATTTACCGTTTCAATTGATTATCTCCCCGTGCGAAGAAGCGTTCGCGCTTTTATTCGGGAAAAATAAAATTGAATTTCTCGCAAAACATAATGTCACTTTAAAAAGCAGCGATTCCCTACGTTAGACGCTCTCGGAAACGTCTCCTTTACTTTGTCTCCTCGCGAATCTTCGCGTCGCGTTGCCGTCGTCCGAGATATGAAAAGCCTTCTAACCGAAGTTTACATCCTGAAAAGATGAGAGGAACGTGAACGTGGCACCTCTGCATTTTTCAATGTCTTTTCATAACTCGCGATTGACGTCAACCGCAAAAACTCTTGGCATGACGTGAAAAATATCCGTTGTTGATTCAACCTTTTGCGTGACATCTTTGTCTTCGAACGATGAACCGCGAGATGGAAAATTGCTCGCAGACAAGAGTAGACAAGTGAGTCAAAAAAATGGCATCTAATATTGAATAGAAATACTTCTACTTGCATGCATAAGTGTTTTTGCTGTTTCCGTCAATTAATAAAGTTATACATTTAATTCTTTTATAAAACAATCATAAAATGTGTACATTTAATATTTTAATATTACAGAAATAATTATATTTGTTGATTACATCGTAGACATTTCAAAATTTTTAAAATTTTTTAAATTGTCGATGATAATAAAAGATTAAATATTTAAACGAGAATTTTATTATCCTATAAGGCAGTTGCTACGAGAATCTTTATTTCTGTGATACATTGTGCGCGCAATTAAAATTTTTAAAATTGTCGTCGATGATTATGAAAGATTAAATATTTAAACGAGATTGAATATATGAAAGATTAAATATTTGAACGAGATTAAATATTTAAACGAGAATCCCATTATAATCTCTAAGGCAATTGCTATAAGAATCTTTATTTCTGTGATTTATTTCTGTGACATTGTGCGCGCAATTGATGAAACGGCGAGATGAAAATCGTAAGATTATGACAAATACACTCTCGATATTTTTTGCCGTCACGTATATCCAAATAAAGTTCACGGCGAAATCGATTTCTCTTCCAGAGAGCAATAGAATTCAAAGTTTGACGTACAGTTTTATTCCGAGTGCCACTGCCGTCTTTTAGAGAAGCGATTCTATAAGTACATAAACTTCCAGGCCTCTTGGATGGATTAAAGTCACGATCTCGTCAGTCCCGAGTGATTCATTTCGCTTGACGTATAAACCGCCATTCTGTCATTTCCGCAGAGAAAAGCATTAATGTACATTTATTTGGATTTCTTCCGTTTGAAACTTTATTGTGCTTTAAAGCTCATGCTTTAGGAAATACTTTAATGGGAGTAAACTTTATTTATACCCGAGTCTTGTTAATTTTATTCTGTTTATGATAACTACCGTGTAAATGGAATCGTATAAATGTTTTACTCTAGTCAAATATAAAATGTACGAAAACGAACGAGCTTGTGTTTTGTAAATATTCGTATCGACGCAGAATTTCATATTCTTGAAATTATAATAAAATGCAAATATGTATTTGAGAGACTCGAATAATTTGATTTTACGATTCGCAAATAGGTCATTATGTGAAATAGCTCGTAACATAAATTTACGCCATTTGGAAAATGCCAATATTATCGACAAAGGCATTAAATACGAATATACGAAATTTGCATCGAGTTCAAAAATTTCTGCGTTTTATCGAGAAATATGTTTTATCGACGTTATGCTTTCCTTTTTAATTAATGCATAACAGATAATAAAGTGATACACCCATATATTATTTATATGTACTCTTGATTTGGATATCTATATAATGTTTAAAATAATAATATGATATTGTGGTTTATATATATAATAAAAGTAAATAATATAAAACGGAAATTTTAAGGGCAGCTAAATAAAAGAATCTTAAATTACATGCATTGCTTTTCGAATAGCGTGAACCATAAAGTATGAATCAAATATATACAATACGAGAGAATTTCTCATAATAATAGTGGCAGAATTTTTACAGAATTTTATATCGCAAATTTAATTATGTTAAATTTGCGCTTTTACTATACAAAATTTTTATCAAAAAATGAAATGTTTCTTTCGGTTATTAAATAGATGCTGCTTTGCTGAAAGTTAGGATGTGTGTATACGTGTGAAAACTTTTATAATTTACTAAAGCATAATCAAGAATCTTACTTAAGTTGCACACAAACAAGACAACCGCGACTCGAGCGGAACCACGTTACTTTTTAATGAAGCACAAGAGTAATTTTACTCGTCGGTAAATTAATATTAGTAGAATATCGTGAAGTCAAACAAACGAATAAACACTGCGAACAGCAATTACATGTCTCCCCATATCAAACAGGATTGTCATTAAAACTTTCAGTATTAAGATTCAGGATTTCAGATGCACTTAAAGTAATCAGTAAAGGAACAGCTATGGCAAACAGAGAATCGAAGATTTATGTTTCCAATTTCATTAAAACACTTTCACACGTAAACAGCCTTGCAAACAACAACTTGACGCACTTTACAAGAAAATTGCATTTTCTTGTAAATATGTATATACGTAAATGTTTTTAAATCTTACGCTCCGCAAAACTACAATATTTTACTCTCAAAGAGTCAAACTATTCAGTTAATTAAAACAGTCAATTAATTAACTAGTCAATTAGTTAAAACAGCTAAAATTTCTTTCAATATTGATATCTAAAATCTCTTAAATCTCTTTATGTAAAATAATTTATAAAAAAGCAATATTTTCTTGATAAATGCACTTTATTAGTCACGAATTGATTGACTCTTTTTTATTGGTAATTGTACTTTTCTCCATTTATTTTATTTCTTTGGTTATTTTTATCTTTATTGGTATCGACCAACCTTTCACAAATGTTTTTCCCGTTCCAGAGTGGCACGACGAATCCAACGATCAAATTATATTGCGTCGATCTCCTGATGGTGGTGCAGGGTAACGTGACCTTGGTGGAGATCGAACATCCGCCAGAGCTATCTACCACCGAGAGGATTCTGTCGGCGGTGGACTTTCCTACGGACAATCTCGTGTATGCGACTTGGATGAACCGCGTCCAGAACAGGGCGTACTTCCAGCTCTGCGACGTCGACAGCCTGCAACCAAATTGCACGATAGTAAGTACCATCTCGTCTTCATCGAGGGTGATCTTACGAACCCGGCTACAGGTTCATTCGATAATCAGTTTTGCGGAAACTCCGCTCTTTCTTTTCCTTTCTATTCGAACCCTCGCAGGCTTAATTTAGACGAGTGCTCTTTCTTTGATCGAACAATAATATTTTATTTAGTGTGCCCGCGATTCGTCTAATTTGTAGTTTTGCAGTCGAATCTTTCGCAATTTTTTTTTACAAAACTTTGAATTTTATAAACATTAAATAAATCGACAAAGATTTTACACAAGAAAATCCTCTAATAAAATTGATGACATGTTAACTTCACAAAAGATGTTTTTCCGTGAAATGTTTTTTTATATTAACGCAAATTAAATGTTATATCGAAAAATGTTTATAAAAAAAAGTAAAGGCGTCAAGAGACTGTAATTACTTTCACTTTACTCTTTTTCTCATCAGAGAAAAAAATAAATATCCCCCTTTCTGGATCATTTTATTAATTCTATATTAAAACTTGGCTTAGATGTTTGTGGAAAATACAAAGCTGATTTAATTTTTCAAAAATATAGAACGAATATAGAACAGATATGATATTGAAATTTTAATAGCCTTTTACGAACAAAGATTGGATTTGAATAAGTTGACAGAGCACAATTTTATTAATGAGAAAATATCTTGCTTTCAGGCGCTTTCGCACAGCGAAAAAAATGGCTGGGTGGAACAGTTCGAGGCACCCAGGTTCAACGAGGACGGTACGTCCTTCCTTCTGATTTTACCGCAGAAACAGAAGAACGGCAGCAATTGGCGACACATTGTGCTCGTTACGAATGCAACTAGCGGCAACCCGACCACCACCGCTCTTACATCTGGCTATTTTGTCGTGACGGAAATAATATCGTGGGATCAGGAGGACTCGTATCTGTAAGTTAAACGCAAATATTCCGTGCATTGCTAATTAAATGGCATTCTCAATTTCTTTTCTTGATTTTATATTCTTGATAATTTCATTAAGATGAACAATTTTGTATTATTTTAAGCTACTTATCATAAACGATTCATTGAAAGTTACATGTGCTAAGTTGAAGAATTAAATTGTGAACTTGTTTTGATGCGAACACAATTTAAAAAGTGATACTCGGATCGAATTAGAAAGCATTAGCGACGCAAGTCTTTAGCGATTTAAATATCTATATAAGCGATACAATTATTCGAAGCTTCGAAGGAAAGTTTTTCCAAGAAAAGCCAGATCAATTCAATTACTTAAAACTTCCTCCTCGATAATCTACTATTAGCGATTGAACCAAATAGATCACGTTTTCACTTCTTTGGAAACTTTCCGGCAATCTTAGCTTCTTCTTGCTGCGAAATGGGATTGTCGAAGTTCAATCGATTTATTGCCGATGCATAATTTAATGGAACATAGATAATTGAGGATCAGTAGCGTCAACATATAGCTTATTCATCGCTCAAGATTTTAATCACAAGATGTTCATATATTTACATTAAAATAAAAATGTATTAAAAAAAGATAGCTGTTTATAATTAAAATTATATTAATTTAAAAATTAAACAATCATCAATCTTGGAAATTATCTATCGCAAAAAATTAGATTAGAAATTAATTACGGAAGTAATATTTAGAGTTTTCACAAAAGTATTAGCTGTGCAAAATGATGCACTTTATTCGTGTTATTCACATTTGCAATCTGTTTTATTACATGTACAAATTTTTCTGTAATTACATTTTATCGAATTATTATTATATTCATATTATATTATATTATTATATTAATATTAATTAGTATTATTGACTCTGCATTTTTGCAAGCTTTTTTTTAAAATGGGTTTTTGACCTTACATACTTTTGCTTTTCCTGGATAGAACTGTTGTGTACATATCCTAGGCCCATATTATGAAAAGCCCTCGAAAAACTCGGTTTCTTCGCGACCGATGACGCTTTGGAAAGATAGCTGACACGCGAAATGACACGGAAGTAATATACGAAGTGAAAGCAGAACTCTCTCTCTCCGCGATGGCGCGGATCGGGGAAGTTGCGTAATATCGTCGCGGCTTCGAGGGATGAGGGAGAGACCGAGAGGTAGAGAACGGAGGGTAAATGGATCCTCTCGGTAGGTTGACCTCGCCTCGCAAGAAGCGGCTGACTTAATTACACGTTCATAAATTAAACGAGATCTCCGTCGAGAGAACCGAGCGAGCGACTCGCCGCGCCGGTTGTCGTCGTCGGCGTCTTCCGCTTTTTTCGCGTCTCGAAATCCACGTCGGTCGATTAACGCTCGATGGAAGTGGCCGACGGGAATCGAATTATCGGCAGATCGCGCGATCAGAAAGTTGAAATGTCGTTGTCGGCAACGACGACGACGACGACGACGACGACGACGACGACTTCCTGTCGAACGTTTCCTCCAGATATCCCCTCCCCTCTCTATCTCACGGAAAAATCGCTTCCATCGGGTATTAATGATCGCTTAAAGTTCGTTGCGTCTCGTTGCACGGAAGAGTGACTGAAATTTCAAAACAATTCGTGATCGAAACAAACAGGTACTCTATAGTTGTTAATAAAATAAAGTTCTCGATGATAGCTCTTGATGATTTAAATCTTCTTTTTGCCTCTTGTTTTATATTAAAATAAAAAAAATAATAATTTATAATAAATATAAAAATAATGATATAATAAAATAAAATAATAATAAAATAATAATATAATAAATATAAAAATAATAATATAATAAAATAATAAGAAATAATAAAATATTAAATAATAAAGTATCTAATATCGATACGCAAAATGAATCGCGAAGAAATTTCGTTCAAAACTGCGATACGGAATTTCGAAACAACATCCTAGAGAGAGGTCCCGATACGTTCGCTCGAGTTTCCCGTCATTATGCACTCGTGCACGATGAATTTAACGAAGTCGTTTCGTTACACGTCATTTCGTTCGTGCAAGAAAGCCAGGCATCAAGCAACGCCGGGTCCGCATTCGGATAACGCGCATGAATTAATCATTAGGACGGTGTAAACACAGAGGACGGCGAGAGAGTTGAGGAGTTATTCAGTGGCGCGTTGCGTTTACGGCCTGCGAGCGGCGTAACGCGTAATCAATGCGCGGAATCCGCAATACGATCACATTCGCGTGCGCCGGAATTCGTCGATATTACCGCGCTCGTATATATCGTTGTATTAGTATCTCGTGCAATCAATATCATCCGCAACCATTCGAATCCATTAGGCATCTAAATTCGATGGTAAAATCTGTCTGTCTAATAATGTGGCTGTCGATCGTCTAGAGATAGTCAGTTTAATCGCGATTAAAATCGGCGGGAAATCACGATCCTTCGATTGATTAAACGCGAACATTATATAATTCAATTTAAGCGTAAATTCTAAATTCGCGTGAGTATGAAGTGCAATTTCACGCGCTAATACTCGTCCGATAGAGGGGGGCGATTAAGTATGTAATTGCAGTGACACGCGTTAATCGCTGCTGCATCCTAAACCGGGGCGAGACACCTAGGGATGAGATATTAAGCACGTTAAACGGCCCAAGATTTAATACCCCGACTGCTTCCCGTTGTTTCCCCGAACGAAAGGCCGAATTAACTCGCACGTCTGCCAGCCTCCGCGAACGGACAGGCCTCGCTACCGCAAGAACCCCCTCGTGCATACGTGGGGAACGTTCGTGAGCTGTTTCCGAAAGCTTTCCGCCATTGGCGAGGCCAAATGGAAACGTCGCTGCAATCCGGAGATAAACACCGGGTGAGAGACGCGGTTACGCCCGTTCTATTAACCGACCTTATTATTCTAGTCGTCGTGCGCACTCGTTAACCCTGAACCCCCCCAGGATGTCCCGCAGGATGTACCATGATTTCAGGATCTCTAGCGATCTTCTCCTACATCGCGACTCAAACGATTCTTTCTCTTCTTAACGCATTCGATTTTTTACCAATTTATTATCATAATTATTATTTGTTTAAATGATGTACAGGGTGTAACTTAAAAAGCTCCCACTAAGCAAATAGCGTTACTCCTGATTAAAAACCGAGTCGAAAAGTCCTGAACCATTTTTTCCATAATGCTTAATAAAGCAGTAATTAATGAGTAAAGTCGCGCCAATAAAAAGACAAATTTCCTCGTTATCAACATATGAAGATTTGGATAAGCAAAAAAATAAACTGTTTTGCGTTAATTTTTAAACAATTCATCTTTTCAGAAATCTTTTTAATACTTAAATCTGATTAATTATTTAATGAATCTGGGAAAAAAAATGGTTTAGGATTTTTTGACTCGGTTTTTAATCAGGAATAACGCTATTTGCTTAGTGGGAACTTTTTAAGATACACTCTGTACATTCCAAAGAAATTAAATATATATAATAGATAATATATAAATATATAATTATTATCATACTTATCTTCTGTTTAAATGATATATATTCCGAAGAAATTAAATATTTATAATATATAAATATATAATTATCATCATAATTATATATGTTGTTTAAATGATATATATTCTGAAGAAATTAAATATATAACGGAGATAAAAGATGAAAATTTTTTAATGATAAATTTAAATCTCAGATTTTGTACGCGGGAAAAATAAAAAGTTGATTAATTTGGATAATTAAATTAATAATTTAATATACATTTGGCTCATGTATTCTGATTTTAATTTCGCATATCGATGAAAGGTACATTTCGCTTTAATTTAAATCGTGGAATAAGAATCCGCGATATTTAACGTTCATTTCGTGAAATTACCCGCGTTACATATTGACGTGAAGTAGAAGTGTATTCAGAAAAACAAGCGCTGCGGGATATTTCGTATTCGTCGGTATATTCAATTTATTCCGCCGCAGGTAGAATCCTAATAAAATAAGGCTGAGCGGGAAAAACTCATACACGATGATATTCTCGTGTTTCCGAGGACAGAGAAAGAGAGAGAAGCTTTCACTCTCGCTATTTCAATTTCAACTTTTATAAAAGTTTTTAACACCCTCACTATTCAAAGATGCGGCCACTCTCGTCCGGCTGTTCTCTCTCTTTCTCTATCTTTATCTATTTCTCTCTCTCTTGCGTTGTTTAAGATTTGGAATAAACTGCTCAAAAGTTCGGTGCATTATTTCTCTCGACGAATGGGCGCCTTCTCACGATCCCGCCATGAGAGAAGAATATTTCGATTTAATCCTCAAATGTTAATCAACCTGCAAGAGTCTCTCCCCTCTGATAAAAGTTTCTGGTGTTATCATCCGAAAGGAATTATGTCACGCAGCTGTCGCATCTTAATCTCTTTTAGCTCCTAAAGTTAAATACAACGAAAATCGATAGAGTCTGATTAACTTTTCGATCCATTGAGCAAACCAATTAAGGAACGGAAAAGTCTACCTTGAGCGAACATGGCTACTGTCTTCAGGATCGCGAAAATAGTGAAGAAAGACAAAATAAAAATTGCCAATAAGAATTCAAGTACATTGTTCTATGCTAATTTTACATTGTAAACTAATTTCTCTTCGTTAAAGCAGAATCTTACATGAAATTTAATATTCCGCATACAATTAGGTCTAAAAATTTTCTCTTGATAAAAGAGATATCTAGGTACCCAAAGTTCCAAAGTTCCTAAGTGGCTTAAGACTAGAGTTTTTCAGAATTTAACTTCAGCAAACAAAAAGATAACGAAACTTTATTCCTCGTTTAATTCCAAGGGAGTTTTATTTTAACGGAGTGCGTTTGAGAGAGAGAGAGAGACAAGGTTTAAGAATCAAAATTGTCGTAAATAAATTGAGATTTAAAATTGAAAAAAAAATAAAATAAAACGCGGAGCGTATCATCAAAGTTTCGTTAATGACACATCAAACGAATGAGAATAATGATCGCGTAGTGAATCAGCGAAACGTGAAGTTT